TCTCTCTCTCTCTCTCTCTCTCTCTCTCTCTCTCTCTCTCTCTCTCTGTGTCTGCGTCTCCCTCTTTCCGTCTTGTTTGACCCACATAGCTAGTTTGCACAGCAGTCCAACTGTGGGCCTCTTTCTCTCTTACCTCCCCCTGTTAAAGCCTCTGGCACTTTGTCTTAGCGCTGGATTAAAGCTGGACTGGACAAGGCACTACCCCGTCCTCAGCAACACACAAACACCCCCCCATCTCTCTTGAGTAGCTCCACACACTCATCTCTTCTTCTGTTTCCCCCACCCCCCTGTTTGTTTTTCTCTCCCTCCTGGCAAATATTTTTTACTGAGGTCGAGGGAAAAGGGAGAGAGTGAAGGGAGTGCGATCCAGACACTCCAAGCTCTGCGTGTTCAGACAGGCGGGCCAATATTCCCCCAGCAGATTCCTGGCATGCCATAGTAACCTGCTGGATCCTCTTTCAAACCGTCAGACCCCCTCGTAGAAGCACTGGCTTGTGTGTGTGTGTGTGTGTGTGTGTGTGTGTGTGTGTGTGTGTGTGTAACAGTTGGTTTAGTTCACTTTACAGCTCTTGGTTTGTTTGCGTCTTGAATGCAGTTGTCAGGAGACAACACACGTGTGTCTTCCTGATGTGTGGCTTCAGCGGCGGTCGACTTGCACATGACATGCTTTGCGTTTGCAGAGGAGCTGCAGCTTTGTGCTAAAGGTGGGCCATTCATAATCGGGGAGTGTGCAGCCAGTCTGGTGGTGTGTTCCCGGGCATGTCAATGTCCCACAAGGACGAGAATAGAAGCCCGTTGGGACCCTATTTTAGATTTCACTGTATTATAATGATAGGCCCCGATGGGGTGTGTGGTTCTGACACACAAGAAGAGCCCAGGCTTGGCCTGGACTGACACTGTATTTTGTGTGCTGGTGCCCTTTTAGCGAATGACCTGTCTTCAGTCTTTTGTGTTTTGTGATAATTAACCTTTTGCTTGCACCTCTCTCCTCCTGTCTTTCCTTGATGAAGCAGATTAGAGGATGTCTGCCGACGCATTCGGAGCCGGGGGCAGCGATGCCCAGCAAACCCTGCAGTCCTTCTGGCCTCGAGTCATGGAGGAGATCAGGAACCTGACTGTGGTACGCTACTCGCTGCGACAGACAGACGCATGCGTATCAGCCAAATTAATACCAACATGCAAATAGTAAAGCACCGCTTTCTTGTGCTTTACTCTGTACCTCTAACCGACCACCTATCCATTATTTCTAGAAGGATTTCCGCGTGCAGGAGTTACCTCTGGCTCGAATCAAAAAAATCATGAAGCTGGATGAGGATGTCAAGGTAAGAAGACCTTTATAGCACCAATTCACCATTTAGAGAAAATAGCTACTATTGTAAGACCATAAGACACTTTTGTGAATCCCTAATAGTTTCTTTTTTTATCACGATATTTCTATGTTATGGTTAAAATTGGTAAAGTCTTCCATTCATATTTAGTACATTGGTCATTTTGAATAACTTGGAGATTGCAATGTATAGCTTGAACTAGTTCTTTGAAATACATGTTTGATTTTACTGTCATTTGAGACAAAAGTTTGATTATTTGAAAGCCTTAGAGAGCTTTATGGATAATGGTCGCTAATGTGGTTCCTGTCAAATGTTTAGTTTGTGTTCTGTTGTTGTCGGACCACTCAGTGCCTGTTGGACTTATTTTATAATGGAAAGTATTATCAGCTCTTACGCATTCAGCAGTGTCTGTTGATAAGAAGTCTATTATTTATATCAAACGGGTTTACATCCAAACATATCAGCAGTGTGCATAAAGCATTAAGTGAAATTACAAAACTGATTTTATAGCAAGCAGCTGTTAAGACCATGTTGTGAAACACTGGTATTGTATTTAAAAGAGGTAGCTGCTTTTATTTTTAATTTGGCTCCACTTTGCAGAGATTTTAAGCTGCTAGTTGACTTTTTAAAACATTCCACGTTGCTGCACGTTGTGGTTTATGTTTGCACATCAATTGGGTCAAAATAAACTACCAATGTGAACTTAATTGGTCTTATCATAACAAATATAAATCACTTAAATTTCAACTTGATACTAATACCGATCTCTCAGATCGGCTAATGATGCACCGTAGCTTTAAGGCCACATGTCCACAAACTTTATTCAGAGAAATCCACCCAGCATTTGTCAGTTGCATTGAACTCTTCAGGCACAAGGAGTGATTATTTTACTCCCCGATACACCAGATTATAATCCAGGACTGTCCCTAGTCTCTAAAGAGAAAGCCTGTGTGTGTTTGGCTTGAATGTGACGTGTCAGGAGCACTATCCCGTTTGTTAAGCTGTAGCTTAAAGTGGTAAAGAGATCAGGAGATCAGTAACGTATCTGGAGACCGCACTCTGCTGTCCGCACTGACACAGCAGCTTTCACTGCATGTGTACATGCGAGTGGTGTTATTACAGTCCATCTTGTACATTTAAGCCTCACATCTATGTCAATGTACTTAACCAATTACCGCATGGCTTGACCTGAGAGTTCAATGCCACTCGATATGAAGAAGTGGAGTGAGATGCTAAGCAATTAGCCACGAGAGGCCTGCGGAGCTGACGAGGCATTGTTAGTGACAAACAAAGGCTCAAAGGTAACTCACTGCTATGGTAAGAAAAGACACGAATAATGACGAGCTAAGCAATATATTCCTGATTGAGTAATGTTTTTGAGATGACACATTAGCTCTGAACTAATTATTATCTCGTCGTTTCAATCAAATTAATGCATTTATTGCTTATTTTGCAGCACGTTTGTCCCTTCGGTCCTGCGTGAGTCACGTTATAGCTGCTGTGTGATTGATGTTAACTGGTCTGTGGGTGTATCGGAGCAGGCGTAACGGCATCTCTTCCGTACAGATGATCAGTGCAGAGGCTCCGGTCCTGTTCGCCAAGGCCGCTCAGATCTTCATCACAGAGCTCACCCTCAGAGCGTGGATCCACACCGAGGACAACAAGAGACGCACGCTGCAGGTCAGAGACACTCATAGAGACGTATGAACCACGTATGACACACGTATGTAGGACACATGTTTCACCTCGAACAGATTAGGCTTCAGTTGAGGAAACCAAATGTCAACCTGTGTCCTCTGTCTTCTTCCATCTCCATCTATTGTAATGATTACATAACCTCTGTCTTTCTTTCATACTTTTCTTTTTTAACTCCTGTCCCACAGCCTTGCATCATTTGAGTGGCTCTTTGGTTTGTTGCTTTCTATTCACCGGGTGCCCGTGTCTGTGTGCGTATACAAGCAGAGGCCCCCATACCAGCGTCCCCTTGAACACGTTTCCTCTGTGTAGTTCTTTCTCCCTCCACTGACTTTGAAAGCAAAGCCAGGCGGGTGTCCGTGACCCACTTTTCCCCTGTGGTGCCATTTTGGCTGCTCTGCTGTCCCAAAGTTGAATAAGATGGACTCTGGAATGATGTGAGGGAGGAGAAAACGTGAGAACGCTGATGAGAACAGTTGGAGAAGATCAAGACGAGAGTCTCACCTGGATGTCGAAAGGGGAGAACGCTGGAGCAGAACACGAAAGCCCTTAAGTCTACTTTATCCATTCACATACCTCTGAGAGATTAGCAGCCCATGGATTTTGTGTGTGTGTGTGTGTGTGTGTGTGTGTGTGTGTGTGTGCGTGCGCCAACGCCAACGCAGGTAGAAAAAGAAACGGTGTAATCGTAGCTGAGTCTTAAATTGAAGACCTACTTTGGAAGTGTGTTCACTTTGCTGTTGTTTTGGCTAATCTTCGTCCCGGAGTCCTTTTTTTAGCATGAAACTCTCAGGTGTAAGAACTCCTCACTGGATGCTTTAAATAGAAACCTAATTTACTGTGCAGGTTTACATATTAACTACATTTTACACCACGGATAACGCATTAGCTACGTGTGACAGTTGAACCTCGTAGATGTGATTTTCTTGTCCCTAAATCAGGGAAAAAACGGCATCCTCCATTTAAACACGCACGCAGAGCCTTCATCCTATTGTTAAGAGGGCCGCCAATAGGTCACCATAGCAGCGCTCATCAATAGAACAAGTGTAGATGTGACCCGGTGTTACCAGATATTAATCAAGCTTCTATTAATAGCCTCTAGTGAAGGGAGGGCCACAATGGGGGGTCCTGACAGCCAATATCCTGTGGAAAATTCCACAGAGACAGCACACTGCTGCTGTTACAGGGAAGCGTATCGCCGCAGAGCCTCGGCTCATGAGGGCAGGAAAGCGTCATTCCTGTTCATTTCCGCCCATCACACATTGTTTTTTATGAATCCATTTACCTTTTTAATGAAAAACTAACTTGTTGAACAACAAATGCTCACACTTCAGGAGCTGGAACAGGCAGGTGTTTGGCATCTTTACATGAAAGTGACAAATAATGAATCGATTTATCAAAATAGTTGGTAGTGGATTTAGCTGTAAACTCATGCTCTCTTCCTTTGAGCTCAGTTATCTCAGCTCATACCTGTTAGAATACTACCGGGAGCTTAATTTCAATTCCACAGCAGCCTCTTGTGTGGCTATTTTGGGGGAGTTGACCTTAGGCCTTGAGGGCTTGTTATTTATATATATATATATATATATATATATATATATATATATACAGTATATATATATATCTCTCTGCATGTATTGAATTTGCATAATGTAAGTCTGACCTCATCGCTTGACCCTCTGTGTCTGTTATGTTTTCAGAGGAATGACATTGCCATGGCAATAACAAAGTTCGACCAGTTTGACTTCCTGATTGACATCGTGCCCCGGGACGACCTGAAGCCCCCTAAACGACAGGTACGTAATCACACGCGGCACAAAAGCAGACGTCTCCGAAGGTGTTCGGAGTTGTAAAGATGGCAGATCTTCATCTCAGGTGCTTTTCCATTGTTGGCAACCTGGAGGTGCTGTAAACATCCTTGACTGGAAGCTGGGGATTGGACTGCAGAGGCTTTCAGTCGGATGTTTGCAGCATCTTATTGCCTCTGACAGCCAACCGTAACTCCAGCGATGGCAGTGGTTTGTAACAGAAAACTTCATCAACGCTTGAATAGTCCTCTACCTGAGGGACCGATTCAGTAAGGATCAAATCAATTGCAATCTCTGACAGAAAACGGCACGTTGCACTGAAGTTTTGCTCAAGCAAGAGATGAATGTACAGGATGCAAATGTAGGATACCAGATGGAGGAGTGAGATATTTAAATGAGTTGTGAAGTAGACTGTCTCCAGGCATGTAAACATCCTACACTCTCAGCTGTGTTATTATGGAGCTGGGAGGAGGGTGTTTACTCTCCTGGTGATGGAGAAACCTCATCGAGATGAAGCCCTGCTGGTCAGGTATCACGCAGAATGACACAGGTCGGTGTCTACTGATAATTTCATTCACAATTGTTAAAACTGGGTCCAAGCCCCCATGTCAGCGAGCATCTAACCCGCTGAACTGTGCTAAAAATGAATGGCTGACCCAGGAAGAAGACAGTGTTCACATAAATAAATCTGTCACAGTCACATCATTAGTCCTACTAAACCAATAGTACAGTAGAGTCACAGACGGTTAAAGGTTGTTTTTGTTGGTGTAAATAGTTCTGGCCGATGCCTCCGGGCCTTCAGTCAATGGTATCGACCAGTGTGATGCTCGTAATGGATCTCACGTCCGGATTACGTTACTCTTCTCCAGCCACATCCCATCAGTTATTAATCAGACCTCTACCGTTACACTTGCAAAAATAATTCATGGAGATGTAATGGACTGATAGGCCTTCTTCGATGTGTGTGTGTGTGTGTGTGTGTGTGTGTGTGTGTGTGTGTGTGTGTGT